GAATGTTATGAATTTCAAAACTGGTAAGTATTGGTAAATGTATTATAAGTAATGGGTAAAGTAATATATAATGAATTGTGCCACTACCCATAAGAGATGACTGTGGCTATGAAGGTTACATTGTTCGATTGACTGTTTTTAAATCTCATACGAAATGGAAACTCGAAAGATACCATCTGCATTTCAAATCTTTGCAAAACCCATCACAATTCACACATGCTACAGATGCGTTTCAATTCTAGAACCTCAAAGTCCTCACTGTGTGGTGTGCACTGAATTCTTCTAATGTAACCTGCTTCAGCAAATGTTTAAACACTTGTCGTTGCTATATCAATACGCAAAGTATACAGTCAATGTATACAGTACAAGATAAACGACAGTGTTACCATACAAAGACAAAACTTTCATTAGGAAAATTGTGCTACAGCTTAATAAAAAAAATAAGACAAACCATACGAAAACCGTACCATCCAAGGCCAAAATATACTATTTCTTCAACCATTGCTGATACAAGGTACCACAGCATCCACACACACTGACAAAACCGGACAAAGCATACCACATATTCAGTAATCAATGACAATTTTAACACAAAAATGAAATTTACTTCAGCTACAATAAACAAGGTAAAAATGTACAGCAGTATCAAAATACCAGGACATCATAATGTGTAGCCTAGCATCGACACTCAACGACAAAATATTAATTTCGTACAAGTATAGAAAGAAACAAAACAAAAACGGGATCCAAAGAAAGCGTTTATTGCACCATATGATGTACCCGTCATGATGTTTCTTGTAAACAAGTAACTTAATCAGTGTTGAGATATTGGAACACAAATTTCAAACTTTAATAGTTGGTCATCTAGGTAGACAGAACGCTGTTGATTCACCTATGGTCAGATTTTAATACAAGCAATGGTATCATCGTACGGCCACATGCCTGTGTTGTCGAGGACAGAGCCTTTACTTTCAGTGTATTGAATTATACAAACTACAGTTGTATCAACTAACCGTTATTTGGAGGTTATGTGTCTATATAAGTGTATTATGTTTACTGTGAAAGATAGGCATTGATGGATGTCCAAGTAAGATCATTTACATTCAGAATATAGAAAAAGCTGCAATCGTATAAACAGTGAACATGATTTCTCAGAGATGTTCATCATTTTATTATGAAAGATGGTCATTTTGGTTTTTAAGACAACTCGAATTCCTCTTTTCTATTACATCTATTTTATAATTTTTGTTATTTTCAACAATGACTGATATGCCGTTCTTGTTCTGATTAGTCCAAAATCAGCTATATAGCAAACGAGATGAGATGCATCAGTTTTCAAGTATCATATTGCATATGATTAAAACGCACTCCCCGCGAGCTGTGCGGGAAGGCCTATACGTTAACTGTTAGCATATATATCCATACACATATCTTTAACTTACCGTTAATGGAATAAGCTGCATAACCTGCATGACGAGTACGATTTGTTTCGCAATACATACACTCAACAAAAGCTGGTTGTTATGGACCTAAAAGTCTGCATCGCAAAATAAAAATGTTTCCAAAACTATCGAGGAATCCCCTACAGATACGAAAAATTGAAGATTGATTCCCTTAACGAGTTCCGTAAACGTCAACATAGTTATTATTATTTCCCCTAATATACCACAAGTAAGATGAAATGCAACACAAGTATGTAAGAAGCCAAACTCATATCATAAAAAGCAAACAGCACAGCTAGTACGACGCATTATGTGTAACCTGTTGATGACAAGTAGGGTATATAATCTGTTACCTTCATCAGACGACGTACCAGTAAAGTGTATATATACTTCGATTTAAAAATTGTACTAGATGATTATCTTATCGACAAGTCATTTCGGGTACACTTTATCACTGTATTGGAACCATCTATCAGGTGGGCTAGAGCTGATGTAGTCATGTGCATGTGACTGGTCACCTAGTACTCTGTGGTGTTATCAGGTAAAATCCCATAAAGAATCCAGATGTCGCAATAACTCAAAGACACCTGATTCAATTAGAGTCAAAACATTGAGACTTACACTGAGTGTTCAGAACCATCAATACACTTCACAAAACATTCTTTTATACACCGTGACATCCCCTGGCGAACGAGAAGTAGACTGTCATCATTTTAACTGTTAACGGCAGATTCGCATACAGTAGTCTTTTTCATCGAGTAAATAACGTATTTAAATCATGCATTTGTCAAGGAGAGAGGTCCCCTACTCTTTCTTTCTACTTTCATCTCACTCAAACTGTTCACTTTATGCTATATCTTTCTTTCCATCTCCCTATCTTTTCTTCGTCTTGCTTACCAAACTATTCAGGAGTAAAGATAACGTTACAAATAAAGAGTATACTTGTTAGCAATCACCCGTCTGTATGCTGGTGTAATCACTAAGACAAGTACACACAAGTGAATACCTCACATTATTAAAACAAATATTGCAACATTGTACGATGATCGAACTTCAATCTTTTTTGCATATTTATTCATTGTATTTAATGATTCTGCATTATATCACAAGCTTGTGTTTTCATGTTCTTTTGTAATTGCTTCATATACAAATAATGTTGTGTACTATCCAATTCAAATATGTTTCAAAGATGCAAGTTGATAAAGAAAGTGTGATGTATTTTGTTGCCACGTTCTTGCTATGATGACGTGTCATTCCTTGGATTTGATATAACTTTAAACGGCTGATGTCATCAGTAACGCAGAAGACGCTTACCTTCTGGAACACCTGGTCTTATTTTCCTTGTTATTTTTCAGTTTTGTTGTAAATCTTACCTTTGTTCATATTTTGCCCTAATTTTATCGAGTTTGAGTTCGAATGACACTGATATTCTCTTGTTGCGTAACGCCCCAATTTTTCTCTTACTGACTAAGAAATATTACACAAAAATTATATATATATAAAATCTAGAGGTATGGCCACTCTTATGATGAACAAACTAAGATGAGCCCCCCCCCCCTCTTAAACACATGCATTTGACATGTATTGCCGTTGAACTGTGTGCGTGCACCAGTATACATAGAGAGGATGAGGAAGCTGAGGTAAGGCGATAAAACTATGTAGAACTAGACTTATATAAACGAACCTTTGGTACGATTTATTGTATTGCAGAATGAAAAACTAATAAAGATATTTTAAATTTATTGTCTAGATTACTCTCAAACAATAAAATTGATTGTATGAATGTGACTAAGATATTCAAATTATTTAAATTAGGCTTCATTTGTCTGGTGAAGCCTCGTTTTTATTTTACCAATAAAGCCGAGGCAATAACTGACGTCAACATTTATTGATGCTGCAACAATTTTTACGTTATGCCTATTCACCGTATATGTCTGTGGAATGAAAGTACATGCAAGCGTGTACCTTCGCTCAGTTCGTTAAAGACCACTCACACAGGGCGAATTGACTTACATTTACAATTCGGTTGATAACTTTGGTAGGGCGTTGCACATACATAGTTTTATGGGTCAAATATGACATACACATGAATGTATAATCGTTTGATAGTTCATACCTATTGACCAATTAACAGTATCAGCGCCGATGCAATAGAATATTGTAGAGTTCTATCACTGAAAAGTTTATACGAGGAAAATATGAGTAAAATGAATTGTTATTTTACTACACAAAGCAGTTGTTTCAAACAAATGAATCTGTATTTAATAGGACTCTTTCTGGTTAGTTACCTGTAATTTGGGACAATTAATTGTACTGCCAGTATACTGTCATAGGAAAAATCGTGTGTGCAGAAACACTACATTAGTCAATAAAACGAAAGTTTCTGGAGAAGTTTTGAAAATCATTGCCCAAAACCATCATTAATGTGATTATTTAACAGATGCAATCGTCATACATTTTAAAAACATGTATAGTTCAGTAAAGTTTATAAATTTTTAATACTGGGCTTTCCTAACCTAACGTTAATGGCTAAATGCATACTTTAAAGCATTTGTATGGTTCAATGTGCAAATCAGAAAACCATCTTGCCGTGCTGTAAATGTTTCAATCGAGGGGCATTGGTTATGATTTTCGTACGTAATAAATCAATATCTGTGTTATAAAGTGCACCTGTCAACAGTATGATAGTGCAGGTAATTGCCCAATATAAAAACAGTATCCACTGATCAATCCAAGGTTACCTTTCGGAACATGAAATTAAAAAACTGAAAACGAGATATTGGCGGTTTCCCTCTTGGTACAAAAGGGTTAGACCAGATGTGTGTTTTTTTTAATAAATTACTGTGATTTAACTATTGAGACTTTTACAGCTTACATAGCATAATCGTATAAAAGTGATAACGTCATAAACGAGCCTCTTTACATAAGCGGTAGATATTGAGAAAAATCCCAATATGCATAGTGCATAGTGCACACGGTGTTGTTGGTATATACCATAAAACCCCTAAAAATGCTTGGCTAAGCTTTCGATATGGCTACTAATGGTTTACTGGAAATAAACCATATGTTCACAACAGAAGTTATGTTAACAAGTGCTTAGGTGTGTGTGTGTTTACAAACAATATGTTTATCGCAATTCACTGAAAAGAGACAAAGTCGGGTAACCAAAATGCTGACCACTGCATGACTATTTTTATATTAAAATCTATGAACGGTCAATGACAGCATCGCTTAATGAACGGTAAATAATTTTAATTTTAACAAGTGAATAAAAATATTCTGAATCTATTGTCTAGTTCGTTCGCAAACAATAACTACCAATTTATTAATATTTTTCAACATTTAGTCGTACATGTACATGTTTTGAATGTCCAATATTAAACAATAATAACCTTTGGTACGATAGCATATATAGATATTAGTGCAGATAAGCTGTAGCGATAACGCAATATGCAAATAAACTGTATATTATGCTAATTCATATGTTCTTATCAATACCTTTTAAAATAGATGCAAAATATTAAAACAACTCTTAAAGTTATTGTCACATATACTTACGTTATGAACTCTCAGTACTCTCTCTGGAATATTGCTGGCACAAGTCGCCGCCGCATTGCTTTAAATATAAGATAAACCCCTAGCGACATGTTTGTGTAGTCATGCTGTTGTGTTTACCCGAGTCTGGACCTATACATGACTATCGCAGCCCTCTATCATGATAAATACTCATATAAATATATATTACACAAGGGTATTCAGCGATAGGAGTATGTGTTAAATGTTTATATATAACCACAGGTATGAAACTGAAAGGTAATAGCACAGATGCACTTCACCTGCTTTTCGAAAGGTCAGACAGATACTAGTATAATCTTGTCATTCAGCCGTTGTCATAATACCTATCCTCAATGTTTATATTTTTGAAGAATCTACATTGAAATATTATTATTCTTAGTCTTGTCTCCTGTGACAACATATCGTCTATAAGTACGTGTATGGATATATATCTTTCACGTGTAATCGCAGGACAGACTTACTGCTTTCTCTGATAGGAAACAGGAAACAGTACCACATACAGTATTTGGTAATAGGATGACAAATGCTGTATGATTGTTAGCTTCAAATGATGGTTAACAGAGGATTCCCTATGGATCGGAGTGATTGACAGGCCTCCATATCCCATTCTATAAATAACAGACACGTGATAAATTCCACCAATCATTTTGAATAATTGTCTGATAAACATTATAGTATTTATTATAGTAATATTTGTAGGTGTCACAGGGTTTCAAATCTTACCTTGTATATGAATAAGCCCTAAGTGTGACGTACCTACCGATATGTGCTTGTTATCGGTAAGGTCAACCTTCTGTAGAGCGATAACACATTTCACTAAAAACAAAAACAAAATCTGTGTTGACGAATTGTCATAACCCGAAAGGTATCGGAAACATATTGATAAGTAACTTTCTAATAGTGTATAAAGCTGTTTAAAATAATCGAGACAGGTGGCCTCTTAAAACAGATGGTAGAAGTTTTGTTTCCGTTGACCAAAATGTTAATTCAGTGACGTCACGTTTTATATCAAAATGACGTCACGTTTCAGAACTTCAGTAAGTATGGTAATGAACATTTTGAATGCAAAATGCTTTATGCACTTCCCAACAATGGACATATCTTTTAATTTACATACTGTATTAAACAATGGCTTGACGAATCAAATAGGAAGACATGCAGTCAATGAAAGGAATTATGGTCAATACAAATTTTCGGTGATATACGATATACAGTAAGAATACAAACTTTATACACAAACATCGCACATATAATTGCATCATAATATTTCAAGACCAGCTGGTCTTTTTGTCAATTGTACAGTGTGTAGTCCCGTATCGAGCAATACAAAATACGCAAACAGTTTCGTAATCTTGTAGTACAGGTTTACATGAAAACGCCCAACACAACCTTAGCTTGAGAGAGATATCAGTCGGTCTTTAATCGTTGAGGCACATTATACCTACGGTTGTTTGTGTATAAGATTAGATTTTGTTTTCAAACTGTTGAATCTAATTGAAGATATTACATAACTGGTGTACAGCTGTAATTCTTACATTATAAAGCAAGAAGCGAACAGTTTCCTAACATTGGATTTTTTTATTAAAAAATATCTCAACATCTTAAACCTACACAGGTATGCTAGGTGTAAATCGTGTCAGCTGTCTTGCGATTTGTCATGTGTGATTGTCACGCGATACTGTCATGTGTAACTGTCACGCGGTACTGTATTTTGTGGTTGCCATATGATATGTCATGTGAGACTGTCACGTGATACTCTCAGGTGTAATGTCATGTGATACTGTCTTTTGTTGTTGCCATATGATATGTCATGTGAGACTGTCACGTGGTACTCTCAAGTGTAATGTCATGTGGTACTGTCTTTTGTGGTTGTCATATGATATGTCATGTGAGACTGTCACGTGATACTCACAAGTGTAATGTCATGTGATGCTGTCGTGCACGCCTGGCTTGCGATGATGCAATGTGATATCATCGCGTGACACTGTCATGTCATATTGCTATAACATGCATGACGGGAAAAGCAGTTATCGCTCAGAACCAAATTCCACATATAAATAATAGTATTTATTGGCTATTTGTCATTTTGATAGATATTTAATTTGACAGCAGGATACTGTAATATAGAATTGTTTCTGATATGGATATCTTCCATAGCCTGGATATTCAAATATGTAAACGTTGTCTACCAAATTTACCTATTTAGAAGGAGTACTCACTTGAAGTTTTTCTGACATAGTCCATAAATCTTTCCATCAGGATTTCGAAATCTACTTCAAATGTCAATTCATTGTTCTACTCAATATCATGGTCCTTCTGTAAGTAATCTTCTACTCCAGGATCGAGGTATTTAGATGACTGGTAGGACAAGAACAGGAAACAAAACTTGTCCCTAGATAATCTACTATAACGTCCGTATATAATATTAAGGGCTTTAGAGTAAAGGGTTTTGAATAGGTGTAGGAAATACTACATGTACTCTCATTTTAAATGCGAATGTGTGTTTAATACCTTTTTTTCTATTTAAGCCTCAAAGATTTTGTTTTTAGATTTCAATTAGCATCAACAATAATATCATATATAACAGATACAGATACCAAATTTCCGCCGATGCTAACATGAGCAATATTTCTAAAGGTTTCTGTGATCATGTATTAATAACACAAACTTCATGAAAGGGAAAATCTTGTTCCCTCATTATGAGAAATTTCTTTTCTTAGACAGGAGAACACTGCTGCCAATATATGGTTTTAAACTATTTTCGAGCAAATTTTTATGAAAAGCACGACAGAGAAACGATTGGAATTATATGAAAAGGTTGCATTTCGGGTGCCATTTCTGTTGAGTTCTGTGGCAAGATTTTCCGGTAGATTGTAGGCATTTCTTTAGAAACAAAGTGAATCCCTCTTCGATCGACCTTTTTTTGTTTCCAAATGAGGCTGCATTTATTATAGAGCTCATCAGGATCGGTAACCAGCGAAGTCCTTTAATTTCACTTCCGGATATACCGACGATGGTCTTTTATTAAATAACAAGTATATTGACCAAGTCGATCGTGAATGCTCTCCTGAACATCATGGAATCTACAGACCCTTTATATTTCCGTGATATATGTCGACTGCAGACGGACAAACATACAACACAAGTATTCGATGGATTCAGGTAGATATACGGACAAGTATTACACTGACCATCTTGATCTCATTCGGAATTACAGTTTACTGTTTTTGTATGACATGAAGGTCGATGTTTTTTTATTATGCGATGAAGCAGATAATGCTTACCCTTCCGAAACACCTGGTCATCTTTTCATTGTTTTAAGATGATGGATGTAGCAAAAAAGTGTATGAAAATACCAACATTTTTAGAGTTTAAGATTTTATAACTTTTTTATTATGCAATTTTTTGTTACATATTTGAGTTCATAATTTGCAGCAGATCCTACTTTAAATAATATAATATTATTTGATAGCGTAAAACATTGTTTTGATAGTTTTTTGGACAACAAAAGTGAACCCTGTCGTACACCTTTGGAAGGCGGCACTAAATAGTTCATAGCACAGGCCCTGGGGACCTTTTAAATTTTTTAAAAATATCTCATGGGTCGTGTCTTAGGGTGCTACAAATATAATCCAGTAATGGTTAAATTGCTTTGTGGGCAAAATTCTTTTGTTCCTGTAACAGGTCCTTTGATGCAGTCCTGCCTTAATATCATTTAAAGGGGCATCATGCTGAAGTAACCTTTTTTGTATATTTTTTTCAAATACTACATAAACATATCAAGTGAGACTCCTAATGGAAAATAACGATCGGACTTGGCTGAAATAGATTCATAAAAATGATTAAATCTAAGATAATCATCGATATTTCTACCTGTCTGACCAACGTTTTGTTTCGGGATTTCCCTCTACTAGCGCATGCACATAACACACCATTTCTTTGTAAACTAAATGACTGGCCGTGTGAAGTAAGCGAAAGAAAAGTGTTGTACCGTGTCAGCTACGAAGCGGAAAGTTGCCAAATGGTCAAAAGATAGCGCAAGGGGTACGTTACGGAATCATTATTACCAGTGGGAAGTATTCAAAGCAGAAAATAACTACCCTAGCAGTTAGTACGGTGTATGTATTCTTCCGGATAGCTGGCTAAGCTGAAATAAAATCGACAGAAATGCTAGCGCTGTTAATATCTAAAACTATTAACCTCGCTAGTGTCATTGTGTGAGTTTGAACACAGATGAACTTAGTTTAATATGTTAATGGGCATGTATCGGAGAGAGTTTACTTTGGGTTTTTATAATTATACAGTGGTTTATGCGAAAGGAAGGGCTAAGTGACTGGTTAGTTTGATTTTGCCATGAGGCCCTCCAAGGGATAACTGTTGTGATGGCCACGGCTTATTCTGTTCTCTGATCCTCTGACGGTACTCGGGGTCAAATGAGATACGTGCGCTATTAGATTTACATAATTTATAATATTACCGGGATCAGTAAAATGGTATGATTTAATTATATTGCTGAATTAAATGGGTTTTTTTGTTTTGACATGCAAGATTTAAATTAGTACTAATATGAATACCCGGACTCCTCTGGCGCGACAACGCAATATATATATATAAAAAAAATCGCTCTTCGTCAGAAAGCTACGCTATCGCAGCTAGATTAAAAATGTCAAAATGACGGACCAGGGTGAATAACTGAGGAAGGAAAATCAACCTGCTTCTAGTAAATAGGATCGCATAACATTTTTTTTTAATCGTAATTTTTCAACAGTTCATGTTTTCCTATGATGTTTGATTACGTTGTAAAAATGGCGCGTGCTGCCGATAACTACGGCTTCTGTTTCGGACAAAGGAACTGATTAAAGTATTGAAAAAAATATAATTATCGAGTATCTCAACACGTTCCTTATTGACACATATTCTACATGTACACGTAGTGGTTTTGCCATACAGTTTATTGTGTGTGATGGCTAATATGACTTACTAAGTGTTAGCGTATGGAGACAGTGAAAGTGGGAAAGAGAGTATACATACATTTATATGCATGGTCTAAAAAAAAAAATTGACCAAAGACATTGAGTTGTATAATGTTATAAATAAATTCACAAACGTTTCCTTTTTTATTCGCGTGTAGTTTGTCATTGCATATA